GGGAAGGAGGGACAGAAGGAAGGAAGGAAGGAAGGAAGGAAGGAAGGAAGGAAGGAAGGAAGGAAGGAAGGAGCTAGCATGGAAGGGGGAGGAAGGGGGGAAGGAGGGAAGGGAGGGAGGGAGGAAGGAAGGAAGGAAGGAAGGAAGGAAGGAAGGAAGGAAGGAAGGAGAGAAAGAAGGAAACACAAAATGGAGGGAGGGAAGGAGGGACAGAAGGAAGGGAGGGAGGGAGGAAGGGAAGGGAAGGGAAGGAAAGGAAAGAAAGGAAAGGAGGAAAGATAGAGAGAAGGAAGGGAATAAGAGAAGGATGGAAGGAAGGGTGGAAGGGAATAGAGAGGGAGGAAAGAGAGAAATAAGACAAAAGGGGAAGGAGGGAGGGAGGAGAAGGGGGAAGGAAAGAGGGAAGGAAGGAAAGACAAAAGGGAAGAAAGGAAAGAGAAAGAGAAAAGAAGGAAGAACAGAGTGAAGAAAGGAAGGAAGAGAAGAAAGGAAGGAGAGAGGAAAGGAAGAAAGGATGAAAGGGTGGAAGGGAAGGAAGGAGGGAGGGTGGGAGGGAAGGGTGAAGGAAAGAAAGAAGGAAGGATAAAATATTGAGAGAGGAGGGAAAAGAGCCCGGGGCCAGATCAGACCCCAGGCCTGGGTTGGCCCATACCTGCTCTAGCAAGCAAAACATAACATCTCCCAAACTCTTAACTATGGTTAAAGAATTGCAGCACTCCAGAAGAGTGGAAGCAAGTGGGAGTTTTCTTCATTGCAAACTTCCACTCGCTTCTTTTCTTTTTAAGTTCAATATTGTCCAGTAAACACAGTATTTAAAAGTGCTGTGTACGTCTGTTTATTCCAAGGAGCCCATGCACCGCAGACAATGTACGGCACATATACCAAAGAACACCAAAGATAAAATCTAGGCAGAGACAACACCTAAGGCAAAGTGAGCTTTGTTTCCAGAACTACATTCCTCACATCAACAAAGAGAATAATTCAGAACTCCTCTCCATCATATTAACTATGTCTCCTTCCCTTCCGCATTCCTGCTTTAAAATAGAATGGTATTTTAAAGGGGAAAGGAGGCCAGGCTATGATACTGATGCCAAATGTGCCGAAGGCTGAAATATAGGTGGCCTTCATTCCTGAACCTGCGAATCCCCTTCATCACTTCCTAGAGCCGTGGTTCTCAACGTGTGGGTCCCCAGATGTTTTGGCCTTCAACTCCCAGAAATCCTAACAGCTGGTAAACTGCTTGAGATTTCTGGGAGTTGTAGACCAAAACACCTAGAGACCACAAGTTGAGAACCACTGTCATAGAGCATAATTCCCCAAACTGGAGCATGCTGGGTATGTTTCAAACTACAAAATCCCACCATTTCCAGCTTCTGAGAGAGCCAGATATGGAGAAGACATCATTTGAATCAGGGCAGGCCTTACCGTGTTGTGGAAGTCCTCAATGGTGAACTCCGTGAAACCCTGTGACACCAACACTTCCTTGCTTTTGGCGGCCACTTCTTTGAAGCTGCAAGATGTATATATATATAAAAACATATATAAAAATCCAGACCAAGTGTTATTCTGCTTTGTGCACCAAGGAACCAAACTTGAGTAAAATTTCAGAGAAACCTCCACCTGCATTTTGAATACGGTACCGAATACCATAATAATAATAATAATAATAATAATAATAATAATAATAATAATATCAACAACAACAATAATAACAACAACAGCAGCAGCAGCAGCCAGCACAGTGTCTGCTGTGGACTCATACGTGTGAAAAAGATCTTGGAGTCCTCGTGGACAACAAGTTAAACATGAGCCAACAATGTGATCTGGCGGCAAAAAAAGCCAATGGGATTTTGGCCTGCATCAATAGAGCATAATGTCTAGATCTAGGGAAGTAATGCTACCCCTGCTATTCTGCTTTGGTTAGACCACACCTGGAATATTGTGTCCAATTCTGGGCACCACAATTCAAGAGAGATATTGACAAGCTGGAATGTGTCCAGAGGAGGGCGACTAAAATGATCAAGGGTCTGGAGAACAAGCCCTATGAGGAGCGGCTTAAGGAGCTGGGCATGTTTAGCCTGAAGAAGAGAAGGCTGAGAGGAGATATGATAGCCATGTATAAAAATGTGAGAGGAAGCCACAGGGAGGAGGGAGCAAGCTTGTTTTCTGCTTCCTTGGAGACTAGGACGCGGAACAATGGCTTCAAACTACAAGAGAGGAGATTCCATCTGAACATGAGGAAGAACTTCCTGACTGTGAGAGCCGTTCAGCAGTGGAACTCTCGGCCCCGGAGTGTGGTGGAGGCTCCTTCTTTGGAAGCTTTTAAACAGAGGCTGGATGGCCATCTGTCAGGGGTGATTTGAATGCAATATTCCTGCTTCTTGGCAGGGGGTTGGACTGGATGGCCCATGAGGTCTCTTCCAACTCTTTGATTCTATGATTTATCTTGTTGCGTTTCAAATAATAATAACACATCACACAGTCCTAGTTGCTTGGGAAGTGTTCGACTTGTGATTTTTTGATACGAAATCCAGCATATAGATCTCGTTTGCTGTGACATACTGTGTTTTTGTGTCAGTATAATTATTATTATTATTATTATTATTATTATTATTATTATTATTATTATTGGAGCCCCCGGGTGACGCAGTGGGTTAAACCCCTGTGCCGGTAGGACTGAAGACTGACAGGTCGCAGGTTCGAATCCGGGGAGAGGCGGATGAGCTCCCTCTACCAGCTCCAGCTCCTCATGCAGGGACATGAGAGAAGCCTCCCATGATTATTATTATTATTATTATTATTATAGAACAACACTCAAAAACAGGGGAATTCCTGACAAGAAACAATCAGGGTCAACTAATCACCTTCCAACAAAGAATTCCCCCAAGCAGTAAGAAGCCAGACCTTGAAAACTGCCAGGCCAATTGCTGCATTCACACCTGCCTCAAATAGACAACCACCTTGGGCATTCCAGATATATAAACCCCATTTATATATAGGAAACCTGCTACAAAACAGGAGCTTTTTTGTTGAGTTCCAGGGCCAGAGAAGCAGATGGCGGAAACAGAAGAAAGGCCTGCCTCAGGGGAGCGTGCTCGCTCCATCAATGTTCAACATTTACACAAATGACCAGCCACTGCTTGGTACCAAGACCATAAAATACAATTTCAATATAATAAAACAATCGAATAATAAAACCGTAACAGAATCAATACAATCAATAAAAACATGTATCATTAGGGTCTCCTCATTCAAAACATCGTCCAGTCACATCATCAAACCATTCTATTTTCCTATGTCTGTTACACTGTATTTGCAAATGCCTGCTCAAAAAGCCAAGTTTCCGAAATGTGAAAAGGGAGGGGGCAGATCTGATGTCGTTAGGGAGGGCTTTCCATAGCCGAGGGGCCACCACTGAGAAGGCCTGTCTCTCGTCCCCGTCAGCCATACCTGTGATAAAGGTGGGACCAAGAGCAGGGCCTCCCCAGACAATCTTAAAGTCATGGGGGGTTCATAAGGGGAGATGCGTTCACAGCCAAAAAGTATCTTACCCAGAAAACCCTGTAAGCCATAGTTGATAACAATGATGGAGAGGTCAGGGGACATGGCAGCATCTCTAAGGGCCACATTTATTTATTACTAGCCATCCCCTGCCACGGGTTGCTGTGGCCCACATGGGGGTTCTGTGTGGGAGGTTTGGCCCAATTCTGTGGTTGGTTGGTGGGGTTCAGAATGCTCTGTGATTGTAGGTGAACTATAAATCCCAGCAACTACAACTCCCAAATGTCAAATATTCTAAATCTCCGCCAGTGTTCACATTTGGGCATATTGAGTATTCATGTCAAGTTTGGTCCAGATCCATCATTGTTTGAGTCCACAGTGATCTCTGGATGTAGGTGAACTACAACCCAAAACCAAAGGACACTGCCCACCAAACCCTTCCAGTATTTTCTGTTGGTCATGGGAGAACTGTGTGCCAAGTTTGGTTGAATTCCATCGTTGGTGGGGTTCAGAATGCTCTTTGATTGTAGGTGAACTATAAATCCCAGCAACTACAACTCCCAAATGTCAAATCTATTTTCCTGGCACGAATACTCAATATGCCGAAATGTGAACACTGGTGGAGTTTGGGGAAAATAGACCTTGACATTTGGGAGTTATAGTTGCTGGGATTTATAATTCACCTACAATCAAGATTCTATTTTACCCAAACTCCACCAGTGTTCACATTTGGGCATATTGAGTATTGGTGTAGAGTTTGGTCCAGATCCATCATTGTTTGAGTCCACAGTGCTCTCTGGATGTAGGTGAACTACAACTCCCAAACTCAAGGTCAATGCCCACCAAACCCTTCCAGAATTTTCTGTTGGTCATGGGAGTTCTGTGTGCCAAGTTCGGTTCAATTGCATCATTGGTGGAGTTCAGAATGCTCTTTGATTGTAGGTGAACTATAAATCCCAGCAACTACAACTCCCAAATGACAAAATTGTAATTTTTTGAATGAATGGTTACTCCTTGTGTTGTGAGACGTTTTGTTGCCAAATTTGGTGCGATTCCGTTCATTGGTTCTTTTGTTTTTGGGGTACTCATTATGCACAGAGCATTTTTATATATATATATATAGATTTATATTCCGCCCTATCCCCACAAGGGGACTCAGGGCGGATTACAGTACACATAAACGGCAAACATTCAATCCGATTATACAAATAACGAAGGCAGACAGTACATAAACATCCCCCCAAACCCCATTAGTTTGGCAACTGGACCCAATGTTCCCACCATCATACCGTTGCAGCTCTTTCCCGTCCTCCAAAAGAGCCTCCAAATGGGAAAAGCCAAACGCCCGGTAGAAACAGTTGCCATCTGGCCTCGTCTTCCGGATGAACGAATACTTCTGCAGAAGATCCTATGCAAAGAGAACAAGCAGAGGAGTGGCGTGTGTCTCTAGCTCTGAGCTTTCCTAACATTTCACATTGCCAACATACTTTTGAGACAATACATCATTTCACAAACCAGAGGTGAAATCAGAGATATTAAGACACATACACAAACCGTACTAACTTACCTTGATCTTCTGCTGATATACATGGTCATCGTCAGCGTATTCTTTGTACAGGACTGTCAATTCCATCTTTTCGGAGACTAATGGGTTCTGGACAGCGATCTGCAAAGAAAAATGTCAGCATGTGAGGATTTGGGAAGGGGAAAGGACAGTCCATCACACTGCCTAGCATTGGGAATGTAGGCTTGCATTTCTGTGATGCTCAGCAACGAACACATCTGCACACAGTTGTGGCTTTGATTCAGAGGAGAGAGCAAAGCATGGGATGAGATAATACCGTGTCGTTTCAAGACATGCTTGTCAGAAATATTAAAAATTAACTGTATGCAATGACTCGGCAAAAGCTGCAGTTCTATATAAATGTGCCTGTAGCTTAGTAGTCTGAGGCAAACCTCAGTGGGAGAAAGGTCTCAATCTGTGAGAAGGCGTCACAGTGTGAGAGAGGCCTTAGTCTGTGAGAGAATTTATTTATTTCGAACATTTTTACCCCGCCCTTCAAACAGTATACTTACAGCCTCACAGTGTGAGGTAGGCCTTAGTCTGTGAGAGGCCTCACAGTGTGAGGGAGGCCTTAGTCTGTGAAAGAAGACCTCACAGTGTGAGGTGGGGCTTAGTCTGTGAGAGAAGATCTCACAGTGTGAGGTGGGCCTTAGTCTGTGAGAGAAGATCTCACAATGTTAGGTAGGCTTTAGTCTGTGAGAGAAGACCTCACAGTGTGAGGTAGGCCTTAGTCTGTGAGAGAAGGCCTCACAGTGTGAGGTAGGCCTTAGTCTGTGAGAGAAGGCCTCACAGTGTGAGGTAGGCCTTAGTCTGTGAGAGAAGGCCTCACAGTGTGAGGTAGGCCTTAGTCTGTGAGAGAAGGCCTCACAGTGTGAGGTAGGCCTTAGTCTGTGAGAGAAGGCCTCACAGTATGAGGTAGGCCTTAGTCTGTGAGAGAAGGTCTCACAGTGTGAGGTAGGCCTTAGTCTGTGAGAGAAGGCCTCACAGTGTGAGGTAGGCCTTAGTCTGTGAGAGAAGGCCTCACAGTGTGAGGTAGGGCTTAGTCTGTGAGAGAAGGCCTCACAGTGTGAGGTAGGCCTTAGTCTGTGAGAGAAGGCCTCACAGTGTGAGGTAGGCCTTAGTCTGTGAGAGAAGGTCTCACAGTGTGAGGTAGGCCTTAGTCTGTGAAAGAAGACCTCACAGAGTGAGGTAGGCCTTAGTCTGTGAGAGAAAGTCTCACAGTGTGAGGTAGGCCTTAGTCTGTGAGAGAAGACCTCACAGTGTGAGGGAGACCTTAGTCTGTGAGAGAAGGCCTCACAGTGTGAGGGAGGTCTTAGTCTGTGAAAGAAGACCTCATAGTGTGAGGTACGCCTTAGTCTGTGAGAGAAGACCTCACAGTGTGACATAGGCCTTAGTCTGTGAGAGAAGGCCTCACAGTGTGAAGTGGGCCTTAGTCTGTGAAAGAAGACCTCACAGTGTGAGGTACGCCTTAGTCTGTGAGAGAAGACCTCACAGTGTGACATAGGCCTTAGTCTGTGAGAGAAGGCCTCACAGTGTGAAGTGGGCCTTAGTCTGTGAAAGAAGACCTCACAGTGTGAGGTACTCCTTAGTCTGTGAGAGAAGACCTCACAGTGTGACGTAGGCCTTAGTCTGTGAGAGAAGGCCTCACAGTGTGAGGTGGGCCTTAGTCTGTGAGAGAAGATCTCACAGTGTGAGGTGGGCCTTAGTCTGTGAGAGAAGATCTCACAATGTTAGGTAGGCTTTAGTCTGTGAGAGAAGACCTCACAGTGTGAGGTACGCCTTAGTCTGTGAGAGAAGACCTCACAGTGTGACGTAGGCCTTAGTCTGTGAGAGAAGGCCTCACAGTGTGAGGTGGGCCTTAGTCTGTGAGAGAAGATCTCACAATGTTAGGTAGGCTTTAGTCTGTGAGAGAAGACCTCACAGTGTGAGGTAGGCCTTAGTCTGTGAAAGACCTCACAGTGTGAGGTAGGCCTTAGTCTGTGAGAGAAGGCCTCACAGTGTGAGGTAGGCCTTAGTCTGTGAGAGAAGGCCTCACAGTGTGAGGTAGGCCTTAATCTGTGAGAGAAGGCCTCACAGTGTGAGGTACCTTAGTCTGTGAGAGAAGGCCTCACAGTGTGAGGTAGGCCTTAGTCTGTGAGAGAAGGCCTCACAGTGTGAGGTAGGCCTTAGTCTGTGAGAGAAGGCCTCACAGTATGAGGTAGGCCTTAGTCTGTGAGAGAAGGCCTCACAGTGTGAGGTAGGCCTTAGTCTGTGAGGGAAGGCCTCACAGTGTGAGGTAGGCCTTAGTCTGTGAGAGAAGGCCTCACAGTGTGAGGTGGGGCTTAGTCTGTGAGAGAAGATCTCACAGTGTGAGGTGGGCCTTAGTCTGTGAGAGAAGATCTCACAATGTTAGGTAGGCTTTAGTCTGTGAGAGAAGACCTCACAGTGTGAGGTAGGCCTTAGTCTGTGAGAGAAGGCCTCACAGTGTGAGGTAGGCCTCAGTCTGTGAGAGAAGGCCTCACAGTGTGAGGTAGGCCTTAATCTGTGAGAGAAGGCCTCACAGTGTGAGGTAGGCCTTAGTCTGTGAGAGAAGGCCTCACAGTGTGAGGTAGGCCTTAGTCTGTGAGAGAAGGCCTCACAGTATGAGGTAGGCCTTAGTCTGTGAGAGAAGGTCTCACAGTGTGAGGTAGGCCTTAGTCTGTGAGAGAAGGCCTCACAGTGTGAGGTAGGCCTTAGTCTGTGAGAGAAGGCCTCCAGTGTGAGGTAGGCCTTAGTCTGTGAGAGAAGGCCTCACAGTGTGAGGTAAGCCTTAGTCTGTGAGAGAAGGCCTCACAGTGTGAGGGAGGCCTTATTCTGTGAAAGAAGGTATCACAGTGTGCGGGAGGCCTTAGTTTGTGAAAGAAGACCTCACAGTGTGAGGGAGGCCTTAGTCTGTGAGAGAAGGCCTCAGTCTGTGAGGGAAGGCCTCACAGTGTGAGGTAGGCTTAAGTTTGTGAGAGAAGCCCTCACAGTGTGGGGTGGACCTTAGTCTGTGAGAAGCTTCGGTTAGAGAAGCCCCAGGTTGAAGGTACAGTATGAAGGTTCTGTGTAAGTTTGGTGTGAAAGGAAGCTCTGCGTGAGCAAAGCTACAAGCTGTTCATCTGCATAAGAAAGAAGCCCAGCGTGGAAGCAAAGAAGGAAGTATAAAGAACCTTATTTTTGTTATGAAAACCTTGTTCTTAAAGCTCTTAAGAATTGAGAATCACAAAATTAGATGAATTTGGGGAGAGGGGATAAAAAACATTTTAAAAATATTACATCAAAACACTTTCTATACATTTGAAGTATCCCTTTCAGAGGCATCAAACTTGTGGCCCTCCAGGAGTTTGAGCCCTCAACTCCCAGAAGGCCCCTATTGCTAACTTGTCCAATGGAGAGGAATTCTGGGAGCTGAAGTCCAAAACATGTAGAGGGCCACAAGTCTGACACTACTGTATTAACTAATAATATAATTTAGAACACTAGGAGCTCCCGGTGGCACAATGGGTTAAACCCTCGTGTCTGCAGGACTGCTTAACCGAAAGGTCAGTGGTTCAAATCCAGGGAGTGGGGTGAACTCCCGTCTGTCAGCCCCAGCTTCCCTTATACCCCGCCACCATCTCCCCAATGGGGACTCGGAACGGCTTACATGGGGCCAAGCCCGGACAACATATTACAACAAAATAAAACCAGAGCATAAAAAATAAACAACATCGTCAAATTACATCAAGAAAAAAAATTATAAATATAGTCATAAAATAACATTCTAATAAACACAATCACAATAACAATGAGCGGGACACATGTACAGGATAGAAACGATTCTAAGACTCTAATGAGATAAAAATAGGAGCAAGTTATCTGCAGGGATAATAGTTGTGAAGCTAAACTTCCCATTTGGAGGGCGTGTATTCCAGTGGGAAGAGCGTTGAGGGGTGCAATGGTGTCATATTGTGCACCTACTAGCCAAAGTGGAAGAGCCGGGTTTTAAGGTTCTTTTCGAACGTTTCTAGAGAAGGGGCTTTCCTATGAACTATGCAATTCTGCTCCAGAAGAATCGTTCCCATACATTGTCACCAGCCAAAAACCCAAGATATCTTAAACCCCTTATTTCATGATGTCCTAAAAATCAAAGAGGCAATTACATTGTAAAGTAATTAGGGATTTTTGAATGATTCTAGGACAGGTCAACAGAAGGAACACAATGAAAACTGGGGCATCTGCCCATTGCAGCTGAATCTTTAGGCGGGACAATGAACAAATGGAGATGAGACAGTACAAGTCTGGTTTTTGGTCTCTCATGCACCAGAAACCGCTCTCTTTCTGAGTGCTCACCTCCTGCTGAATTCTATCCTGCTGAGCCATTATGGCTTCATCATAGGCCAAGCAATTCACTCCTGAAAGAGAAGAGAACAATGCCGTTGAGAAAGGTCCCTTCGCTCTGGCTCGGTCTCTCGTTTGCAAATGTTTCTGGCACCGAAAAGAGAAGGGAAATGCTCACGACAAAACGAGCCTGCGTCCACAGAGCCCAAAACCAGACGCAAGGTCGAAGGATGCGAGAGGAGGCAGCAGATTACCCAAAATGAAATCTGCAGGGCAAAGTTTCACAATTTAACTACCATATATCTCTATTATGGCCTTTTCCTGAGGACCTGAAGGTGGCATGCTTCACGTACATTACCTTCTCAACTCTATCAGGCTGAGAAAGGGAGGACAGCCCCAAGGTCACCCCCAGTTAAACCCTTATGCTGGCAGCACTAAAGATCGACAGGTCGGAGGTTCGAATCCGGGGAAAGCACAGATGAGCTCCCTCTGTCAGCTCCAGCTCCCCGTGCGGGGACATGAGAGAAGCCTCCCACAAGGATGGTAAAACATCAAAAACATGCTAAGAAAGGGAGGACAGCCCCAAGGTCACCCCGGTTAAACCCCTGCACTGGCAGGACTGAAGATCGACAGGTTGGAGGTTCGAATCCGGGGAGAGCACGGATGAGCTCCCTCTGTCAGCTCCAGCTCCCCATGCGGGGACATGAGAGAAACCTCCTACAAGAATGGTAAAACTGGTCTGAGTCCCTCTACGGAGGTGAGAAGATCAGGATATAAAAGTTTTAAATAAATAAACAGTTAGAAATTGGCCTATCTTCAAAATCTCTTCCATCTTTTCAAACTTTTCCTTATGGAAATTGTTCCCACACTTTCAATGTATCACCCTTCCTGTTTTCAGAGAGGAAGAAGAAGAGAGAGCCTTACCCTGTCTGTTTTTTTTATTATTATTATTATTATTATTATTATTATTATTATTATTATTATTTATTCTTTTTTATTCCTATTTTTCCCCTTCCCCATATCTCTTGTTTTTGTTATTTGCTTAAGATGGTTTTTTCTATCGTTGTTTTCCTACTTTACTATATCTCACAATTGTTCCCCCACTTACATTGTCACTCGGAAATTAAATAAAAATCTATATAACAAAGAAAAAAAATCAAAAACAGGCTGAAAAAGGGAGGACAGCCCCAAGATCACCCCCAGTTAAACCCTTGCACCGGCAGGACAAAAGACTGACAGGTCAGAGGTTCGAATCCAGGGAGAGTGCGGATGAGCTCCCTCTGTCAGCTCCAGCTCCCCATGCAGGGACACGAGAGAAGCCTCCCCACAAAGATGGTAAAACATTAAAATCAAAGAGTTGGAAGAGACCTCATGGGCCATCCAGTCCAACCTCCTGCCAAGAAACAGGAATACTGCATTCAAAGCACCCCGACAGATGGTCATCCAGCCTCTGTTTAAAAGCTTCCAAAGAAAGAGCCTCCGCCACACACCAGGGCAGAGAGTTCCACTGCTGAACGGCTCTCACAGTCGGGAAGTTCTTCCTCATGTTCAGATGGAATCTCCTTTCTTGTAGTTTGAACATCATGAACAACATGAACATCAACATCATCATCATCATCATCATCATCTTTAATTACTCATTAATCGCCCTCCATCCGAGATGCTCCAGGCGATTTACATTGCAGAAATTATACAGGATAAAACACATGCATACAAATATTAAAATTAACAGAGATCGAATGCTCTAGTAAAAAGCCAGGTCTTAAGTGCTAGAGTAAAAGGCCCTAAGTCACGCATTGCTCTCAAATAGGGAGGCAAGGAATTCCATAAGGCCGGGGCAGAAATAGAGAAGGCCCTGCGTCTGGTGCTTTCCGAGTGCACTTCCCTAGGACCCAGTATATAGAGCAAATCGCGTTGGGATGGTCGTGGCGACCTCCGATGATGGGAGAAGGAGAGACAGTCTCTAGGCATCCCCTGGGCAACCTTCATGCAAACAGCCAATTCTCTCACACCAGAAGCGACTTGCAGCTTCTCAAGTCGATCCTGACATGGGGAAAAAACTCAGTGGCCAAAGCACAAATTCGAATCCAACGCAGCACAAACAAATAACAACAAGTCCTCACTGATGTTCTGGATTGCTAACACCATCATCCCTAATTATGTTAGTTAGGAATGATGGGAGCTGTAATTAAAAAAAATCCTGTGACTAGGAGTGGATACCATACAGCTGTCCATCCATCATGAGCTACATTCATACTGTGGCTTAAAGTATTTCAGAAATGTAGTTACATATACATACATGCGTGAAAAACAGAAACGTTTACCCACTCATTCATTCGCTCGCTCACTCACTCACACACATAAGTGAAAGGCTTGCCAGCAATGCCGAAGTCGCACCTCTGCTGCAGTTCTTGGGCCTGCAGCCTCCGGTGCGGCACTGGGCCCCCAGGGCAGAGCAAGCGGCCCACCCCTGCCTGATTAGCATGACAAGCTGCGCTGGGTACAATGCTTTGGCAAGGAGAGAGGCCGCTGAGGAGGCCCGCTTGCGGCCGGGCACCAAGGGGGCATCCATTGGAAAATCCGCCACCGCAGAAGCCGAGACCTGGCGCGACAGACTTCCCTTCCCAGCCCACTGCAAAGCAGCAGCCCGCCTGGAAGTTTATCTGCTTTTGCAACAGGGCCAGGCGCTGGTCCTCACGGGCTTCCTCCGGCATGATCCCCTCGCGGCTGCAGAAAAGGGAAAACCCTGAACCGGGGCCGTTCCACATCATACATCATTGTCAAAAAAGGTGCCCTGACTCCCAGCCGCAATGAGGCAGAAGCAGACAACTGCGGCGCCGTCTTCTGCAATCAGGATTGCAGGCTGCAGCCCGTCCTTTCCTCCTGGGCAACAGAAGGATGGCAATCCACCAGGATTTTCCCCTTCAAAAAGAGACCAGCAGTCAGCATACATCCTTGGCTAAAAGCTGCATCCCAAGAATCGTTAAAGGGCAGGAGCTCTGTGCAAAATTAAATTCAGGAGTAATATATTATATGGGACAAACTAGGGCAGGGGTTCCCCAGGTTAGGCCCAGGCCCTACCACAACATGCCTGGTCTCCACTGTCCACAACATCAATTAGGTCCCTACTCTGTACCCTACCCACTTCCCCGGCCCTCCACTCCCTCATTTTACTAACCCTAGTCCAGCCCTATTATAGCTACTCTGTACCTACCCACTTCCCCGGCCCTCCCCTACCTCATTTTACTAACCCTAGTCCAGCCCTATTATAGCTACTCTGTACCCTACCCACGTCCCCTGCCCTCCACTACCTCATTTTACTAACCCTACTCCAGCCCTATTATAGCTACTCTGTACCCTACCCACTTCCCCGGCCCTCCCCTACCTCATTTTACTAACCCTAGTCCAGCCCTATTATAGCTACTCTGTACCCTACCCACTTCCCCGGCCCTCCCCTACCTCATTTTACTAACCCTAGTCCAGCCCTATTATAGCTACTCTGTACCCTACCCACTTCCCCGGCCCTCCCCTACCTCATTTTACTAACCCTAGTCCAGCCCTATTATAGCTACTCTGTACCCTACCCACTTCCCCGGCCCTCCCCTACCTCATTTTACTAACCCTAGTCCAGCCCTAATATAGCTACTCTGTACCCTACCCACTTCCCCGGCCCTCCTCTACCTCATTTTACTAACCCTACTCCAGCCCTATTATAGCTACTCTGTATCCTACCCACTTCTCCGGCCCTCCACTCCCTCATTTTACTAACCCTAGTCCAGCCCTATTATAGCTACTCTGTACCTACCCACTTCCCCGGCCCTCCCCTACCTCATTTTACTAACCCCAGTCCAGCCCTATTATAGCTACTCTGTACCCTACCCACTTCTCTGGCCCTCCCCTACCTCATTTTACTAACCCTAGTCCAACCCTATTATAGCTATTCAGCAGGCCCTGGAAATGAATAGCCCCCACGTGGGGACATGTTAGAAGCCTCCCACAAGGATAGTAAAAAGTCTGGGTGTCCCCTGGGCAAACATCCTTGTAGATAGACAATTATCACACACCAGAAGTGACTTGCAGTTTCTCAGTCTTTCCCTGGCCCCATCTACACTGCTATATAGTTAATGTATTTCACTACATTATATATTTTATTTATTTTATTTATTAGACTTGTATATCGCCACTCCCAATTTGGCTCGGAGAGGTTTACAGCAGTAGATTAAAACAATACAACCAACTTTAAAATACAATAAAAACTAGAACCAACATAGTCCCGAGTTATTCACCCATCGAAAGCTTGTAGGAAAAGAAAGGTTTTACAGGCTTGCCGAAAAGCAGGTAGCTCTCGGATGGTTCAGGTTTCAACTGGCAAGGCATTCCATAAATAAGGGGCCACAATCGAGAAGGCTCTCTGTCTAGTAGAAGTCTGAAGCCCCCAGTTGCACAGTGAGTTAATCATAGAATCATAGAATCAAAGAGTTGGAAGAGACCTCATGGGCCATCTAGTCCAACCCCCTGCCAAGAAGCAGGAATATTGCATTCAAATCACCCCTGACAGATGGCCATCCAGCCTCTCTTTGAAAGCTTCCAAAGAAGGAGCCTCCACCACACTCCAGGGCAGAAAGTTCCACTGCTGAACGGCTCTCAAAGTCAGGAAGTTCTTCCTCATGTTCAGATGGAATCTCCTCTCTTTTAGTTTGAAGCCATTGTTCCACGTCCTAGTCTCCAAGGAAGCAGAAAACAAGCTTGCTCCCTCCTCCCTGTGGCTTCCTCTCACATATTTATACATGGCTGTCATATCTCCTCTCATCCTTCTCTTATTCAGGCTAAACATGCCCAGCTTGTTTATAAAGCTATTGTCCTCCCAACCCTGCTCTATGCCTGCGAAACGTGGACTGTCTACAGACGTCACATGCAACTCCTGGAATGATTCCATCAGCACTGCCTCCGGAAAATCCTGTAAATCTCTTGGGAAGACATGCGGACAAACATCAGCATGCTGGAAGAAGAAGCAAACCTACTAAGCTGCTGAACTTGCTGACCAAAAGGTCGGCAGTTCAAATCCGGGAAACAG